TTTCTCTCTCTCTCCCTCCCTCTCTCTCTCTCTCTCTCTCTCTCCATCTCTCTCTTTCTCTCTCTCTTTCTCTTTCTCTCTCTCTCCCTCTCTCTCTCTCTCTCTCTCTCTCTCTCTCTCTCTCTCTCTCTCTCTCAGAACAACAACAAAAAAGAGAAAGCAATAACAACAACAGCTACAAAAAAGAACACAGCTTCGAAAAAGAACCAACACATTTATCGCAAAATGAATAGCGGCATGAACACCCCACGCCTAAATAAACACACACACACACACACATACACACACACACACGCACACACACACACACACATACACTCACACACACACACACACACACACACAGACACACACACAAAGCACCTCCACCGCTTCCACGTCCGCCCTCCCCTTTTATAGGAATAAACAGAACAAAACCAAAAAATAATAAAGAAAATGAAATTTCAAAAAAGGAAAAAATAAAACAGTATTATGAATCCTCTCGAGGGAATTAAAGCGCTGGGTTATAATAATAATATGCTCCAAAGGCTCGGATGAGTACGAGGGTTTGGACCGAGGTGTGCAGACGGGAATGGATTTAGAGAGCAACTCGTGTTGTGGTGCAGGCTCCTGGCTGATGTATCGAGGGCTCAGGCTTTGCCCCCAGGGCTGCCTGCTGCAGCTCAACGGTGAGGAGCGAATACAAGGTGTATTCGAATACCCGGTGCTTTCAAGCACATGAACATAGTAACAAAGTCCACTTTGTGCTGGTAAAAATGTAAGGGAGATGGACAACTAAACAAAAACAAAACAAAGCAAACAAAAAAAAGAAAGAAAGAAAAGAAGTGGCACCATCCAACCAAATGTCAATATTCCGTGTTTCTTTAAAAAAAATTATCTACAGGATGGTTTCCTTTAGTTTGAAAAACTAGAAATATGTCCTTATTAAACATGCCAGTATAGAGACACCAATATTATTTTTTCTCATCATGATAATGTTTTAAAGGGGTGACTTATTTTGCATAATCAGAAAAGGAGCAAAATACTGTTCCAGAAGGAACTCCTGTTTGCGAGAAGAAACAAACCGTGTTCATATTGTTGAAATCGTTTGTTTATTACAACAGTCCTGTTAGCGTAACATTCCCTATCAGTCATCGAGACTCTGTCAATGTCTTGATTGTTTCTGTGTGCTCTTCTTTTAGATAGATTCTTAAATATAGTAAAACCACAAATCTTCCTCCTCCCCCTTCCCCCTAAAAAAAGAACAAAATCCCCTTTGCACTCAGTACGTATGTCTAGAAATAGTCTCTTTGCCCGAAACCTTTGCAGTGGGTATGCAGAATTGTGATGAGAAGCTTGACACTCGCTTTTTGCCTGAGCAAAGAAATAGTCAATGTTATTTCTGTACTGGTGAACCTGACCATTAAGAAAGAGTGAGAGGAAAGTTTCCAGAAATAGCAACAAAAAAAAAGGTGGGGGGGGGGGGGGGGGGGGGGGAGAAAAGAAACCAGCATCAAAATATCTGGACTCAGCATGAAACAAAAAACCCCCCCAACGTTTTACTATCGTTCGTCAAGTTTGTAACCAAAGGAACCATAACACGTTGTCGAGTAGTGGCGTTATCGATACCAGTATAGTTCCAAATTTACGTGCTCGAATTCCTCTCAAGCGATAACGAGAGTAATTATCCGCACACGCGAGAGCCGTTAAGCTGCACTCTTTCTCAGTTTTCCCTTCTCCAATATCCCTGTAGTATCACTATCTCCCTCTAGCTCTTTTACCCACCCTTGTTCCAATAGTGACCTTCTTTCTTCCACACATTTCGTCTTTCCTTCATTCATATACCCCCACCCCATCCCACCCTAGACTGTCACTCCTTTTCCGTGGTTCTTGTGGTTTCTCCATTGAC